GTTGCAGAACGCGGACAAACACGAAGGTCTGTCACCTGCCTTCGAGTTTGTCCGCGTTCTGCAACCCGCCATAGCGAGCAGTACCCGGTGGCACCACGTGGAGGAACGGACTTGACCACCGTTTGTATTCCAGCACTGCCCTCAATACAGTTACTCGGGGTCTGGCACTATGACGAGCAACGGTGGCCTTCTTGTAGTTGTGTGGTATCATCCATTTGTCGATCTGATTGCCGAGGAACAGGCAATATACACCGACAGCGACGATTTTATTCTCTGTATAGAGCCGCCTGAAAGCCACAGTGTGGGAATCCTTCGCTATGATGATCATCCACTTGCGCCCACGTAACTCCTCATGGTAGAACTCGGGCGGCTTCTCATCTGCATTCATACAAAATGACGATTGTGAGTTTTGGCTCGAGGTCCAAGACCACCCATATTTCATCTAGGGCCGGGGTGCGTTTTCACAGTCGTGAATGACATCTCATGCTGAGAACATTACTGCTAGAGGCATAGAATCGGTACTGCGTTCGTGCTTCTACCCATGCGCACACCCTCTTGACCATCCTCAGTTTATCGGACATAACTCGGGCAGCAGTTGCAGCTGGGATGTCAGACTCGCGGGGAAGCTCGACAAGGGTCCTCTCTGGGATCAGACATTCAGCGCTTGACTTCATCCACCCTTTTTTCTTGTGCAGGATGAACATTATGGGACCATCCACGACAACAATTTTTTCCTTTCTTCCTTCTTCGGGCTCCTGAACCAAACCTTCCACCTTGTATTTCGAGAACACCATTACACACAACTACTGGTCCGGCGCCGGTCGAATTTGAGCAGCGCACTTCCCTCTTATGACGTCTGATTTGAAAATCGGGCGCTGATTTTCACCACTCGGGCTTCTTTTCAATTTCTCGAGAACTTCTCTGTGGGTAGGTTCGCCAAATTTCACAGATACACAGCTAAGGTACTAGCCTCCAAATGGTATAGTAGCCCGCTTCCCTATCCCCTTTGCTTTTCTGCCATTCCTCTATATGTCTCGGCACTTTTGAATGGGATGACCTAATAGCATCGGAATTGGCGCTGTTTATCCTCCTTGAACATTCTTAGATTGGCCGCACTGAAGCGTGATAACGTGATAACCGGCTCAAATAGTATTACCTATTACCAATCTATTACATTATTCTTTTTTCTGACACGCGCATACAGTTTCCGAGGCGGGCGTGATATAGTGGCAAGTGGCACGCTTACCGCGCACGTGATATGGTGGTCAAACCCGGATCGCCTCCCACTCAGGCAAGTTAAGCCCGAGCCAGTGAGGCCTCGTGCTCTATGGACATGGTAAATTGGTACCAGATTCGTATGGGAGGACAAGAACACTGTGTAGTACATAGGCTGTCCCTCGTCATTTTATAGGCCGCATTACAAAAAGGGATTGATTACCTTCGAATACTTCATCCTTTTATTCTTTTATATACTTTTCCACTCGAAGCTTAGCGAAAATGGATGAAAGACGGTTGCTTCAGGTTTCAGGAATCCATTCTGACTGGTCGATACCGTGTGCATGTTCATAATGTTGTATTCTTATTTTCTCCTTTGTCGTTTTACCTTCATCTTTTTTTTGCGAAATATGATGTGTTCCTTTACTTATCCAATTTTTTCGTCTTACGTCAATTTTCATCGTCGAGTAAAGGATCTTTCTTTCAGAAACGGATTCCGTGAGGGCACCACTCCCAAGCCTAAGGTCGCTGCCGCCTAATCTTGTTTTTTGTTGAATGTTGTTATAAACATTTTATAAATATGCAAATATTGTTCACACACTACATGTTCATTATATTAATAG